AGACACTTAAATATAGCATATTCACACTTACAAGTGGGAATTGCACACATGGACATAGAGTGGAATAACAAACATGGGTGAGTCAGCATGGTGGGAGGGCGGGAAGGGTCTGGAATGAGAAGTTACCTAACAGGTACTACATACACTAATGGGGTGAGGGTTAAACAAAAAGATATTGCCGTGATACTTCTTTGAGTCAGTACTAAGGAATATACCAGCAGTGTGAAAAGAATGTAAACACATTTTAAGAGATCTTGTTGGAAGTATCATTGATCATTCCCCCAAAGTTTGTGAATTGCAGGTAAAATGGATTTCTGTAACATGTCCAGGTACAGGTGACCAGTAATGGAACTTTCAATTCAACTTTGAAAAGCAATACATAGATAACGTCACCTAAAATGTGAATACAGTTTTTTGGCACCATCTGTATTCATGTAACTAATCTATACACCTGCCCCCTAAATCTACACAAATAAAAAAAACACATAGACCCTTGGTGTCATGTTCTCACCCCAGCAAACTGTCAACAAAGAGGTGATGAGGAGAGAAAGGGAGATTTAAGGGCGAGAAGTGTGTGTGAGGCTGAGGCGGGTAGAGAAAGATTTCTCACACAAGGAGTAGGATATAATGAAGAGAAAGTTTACTGTCTCCCAGAGAAAAAGGGAGAGAGAGAAGGAAAGGGGGAAGATGACACAGCACCCCAAAAGAAGAAGAAGGGAATGCCAGCCCTGAGCTGCAGAGGCTGGGGATTCTTAGAGCAAATAATTTAAAAAATCAAAGCAAACAAAAAGTCCTGGAAGAAACCAAAAAGTGAATTATCTGAAATGGTTATATTTCTTGAAGTAGTGAGTCTGAAAATGCTTTCAATTTTTATTTTTGTTCTATACAACTCACTTTTCCTTTTCTTAAATGCTGTTCACCTATGGTTCATCTTACAAGGGTACATGTGAATCTTTCTGAATGTGGAATATAAATGTCTTAACACAATAACTAAGAAAGTGCCATGAAGGCTATGTTAACCAGTTTGGTGAAACTATTTCAGATTGTATATAAAACCAGCACACTGTATCCCATGACTGCATTAATGTACATAGCTATGATTTAATAAATAAATAAATAAATGCTATTCAGGTAAAAAAAAAAAACAAAACAAAACAAAAAACTGGAGATACTAAAATAGAATTACCTATGAGGAAAAGCAGACACTTTAAATCGATCTATTGCTAATTAACATTAATTTAAAAATCCTATAAAAGGTTCACATTAACTCGTTCAACATTTATTTGAATCATGGTAAGGGGGGGGGATCAGTCACTCATACCAGTGATCACAGTGAACTGTGTTATTAACAGATTGTTCATTCGAGGAGTCTGACGGCTGTGGCTAGTGCTTCCTGCACTCTGTGGAAAAGAAGTTGTGACAGTGAGCAAACTTTTCTGTCTCCAGGTTCAAGGCAGGTGCTTTCAATGTTTCCGTTCAGCATGATGTT